TGCTGTGTTTGTGCCAAGAGTCTGGCTGAGTTCAGCTTGGTGTCATCACATCCTGAGCTCCACCTTGGCAGGGTCCTTGCTCAGGTCCCATCCTGGAGTTGCTGGTTGTTCTCTGCAGTTGCTTTAGTCCTTCTTTAGAAATCTTTGGAGCCTCTCAAGGCCTGGCAACTTCTTGTTGCTGTGATTGAGCCTGTACCTTGCTCCTTGCCTATGGAGCACCTGGGCCAGGAAAGGCCAGTAATCACTGGGGTAAACTCACTTAGTCTCCCTTAAACTTCCCTCTCTCTGTGACCTTCTCCAGCAGATCTGTTGGACCTCCTGTGCTCCTCCTGCCTCGTGGACATTCGCAGATTGGTTTGGGTTTTTTTGTGCAGCAGCTTTTGAGTTGCATCTCAGTTCAGCACAACTCGGTCTGGCTTGGTGCAGTGCAGCTCTTTAATTAGCCTAATTTGGTCTGTGCTTGTATGTTCTGATGGACATTCTGGCCAAGATCGGGAGTCTGATCCTCGGCGGTCCTCAGTGCCCTCTTACCTTTGCAGTTCATCTTGGATGTGGGGACTCAGTTACGTTTCTGTGTTTGCAGCCTGTGGGTTTTTATCTGGAAATCTGTGTCGGGGCTCAAACTTTGTTAATTCTTGGTTAAAATCTGAAGTCTTGGGGTTTCACTGTGCTCCTCCTACCCCCAGCTGCTGAATCGCTGCGTTTCCAGCGTTGCTGATTCCCCACACTCGGTCCCTGAGCTGCTGCCGGGGGTCACGTGGTTGTGTGGAGATGGGAAATACTTGGGAAAACCAATTTTGAAGTGTCTCAATTTCATAGGGAGCTTCTCGTCGTGGTGTTTATGCAGCACTGGGAGTGTAGGAGGCGTGTGGGACACGGGACCTCAGGAGAGCAGCATCAGTGGTGCAAAGCTGCACCAGGACGGAGCTGGGCCTGGGTGGGTTTGACCTCTGGGCTGTGGCATTCCCTGCTCCTGTGCTGCATCCCTGGGCTGTTCCCAGCGGGGTGGAAGGGATCATGGGGCGGCAGCGGGGGAGCACAGCTGTGCCTGGGTCAGGCTCTCATCCCTGCTCCTGTCTCAGGTCCTACAGATCCACGGACGGACGGACAACCCCCCAGCTGGGGAACCCCTCGACTCCCCAGCCGGCTTCCCCCGAGGTGGGCAGCTACCACCCCCACTTGGAGCTGTCCCACAGCCACTCACCACGCAGCCCCATCAGCCCCGAACTGCTCTGTGCCCCCCTGACCCCCCTCTCCCGGGACTCCCTGCGGCTCCTGTCCAGCGAGGACACGCGTTGCTCCACGCCCGAGGCCGGCCTGGACGAGCAGGTGGGTTCTGGCTCCGCCCGGGGCAGGGGCAGCCTCAGGGCCGAACCCGGTGCTGGGATGTGGCCGTGGGGAGGCAGCTTGGAAAACCTGCCCGTGGGAAATGCCGTGGGAATGCCGGGCCGGGTGGGATGCAGAGCGTGGTGTTGGTCGGCACGGGCAGCGGGAGGCTTTTCCAGCAGCTGGCTCTGTTTGGAGCTGCGTGTTTGGAGCTTCCCAGGTGCTGTTCCCGGGGCTGGGACACGGCACCAGGGAGCTGCTGCTCCCTGGAATCGCTCCAGGAGCACGGGCACCAAAGCTTTTCCAGCGGATTCCCCAATGCCTCGGTTCTCTCCCCTCCAGGCCGTGCAGCCCTGGGAGCGACGGACCTTCCCGCTCTCCTACGACCCCCGGACAGAGTGCGAGGACCAATCCGACCCCCAGGACCGGTTGTCGCGCTGCACCCGCCGCACGTCGGGCAGTAAATCCTCCCGGGAATCCGATGGCACTTCGGCTTCGCCCAGCCTGGCCAGCCTCAAGAACCGAACCCCGCTGGCCCCCCCTCCCTCCTCCTCCTCTTCCTCCTCCTCCTCTTCCTCCTCCTCTTCCTCCTCCTCCTCCTCCTGCTCCGCAGTCCTGCGGCCAGCGCACAGATAGAGACACACGGGGAGACATGAGCAAACCAACACACAGAACTAACTCTTGGCATTAAAGCTTCCAAAATCTGCGTTTGATATTCAAACATCCTGCCGGGAATTTTCACAGTTTTTAGTGAATTTAAGGAGTTTAGAAACTGTTTTTTGTTTTCTTTTTTTTTTTGTTTTGTTTTCTCTTATTTCTTTTTTTTTCTTTCTTTTTTTTTTTTTTTTTTTTTCCTTCTCCATGTTTCCTCGTCACATGAATGAGCCCCCAGATTCCTCCCAGCGGAGTGAAGCCTCGGGAGGGGAGCAGCCCACCAGACCCCCTCCCCTTCCCTCCCCCCCTTAGGTGTATAAAACTAGAGCACAGGATTTAGCTGACTAGCAGATTTCGGGGATAGTTTTTCCCAACAAAAGGGTGTTGTTTTCTCTTAACCTGCTCCTCCCTCCCACCCCCCTCCCTGAAAGGTTTTAGTGGAGTGAAATTAGTGGTGAAAAGTGATGTCTTGGGATTGCAACCTTCACTGTCTGGCTGTGCCCACCTGCACTTCCACCCTCCCGCGTTTCCCTCCCCCAGGTTGTAGTTCCAGGTATCCCGAGGGCGGAATTCTGCCCCTCCCTGATCCCCCCTCTGCCCCCGGGGCCGCCTCCCCCTTCCTTCTCCCCAGCTTTGGAGCAGCCCTTGCTGTGCCCAAAGGGGGGGAAAGGAGGGACCTCACGGCTGCTCCAGCTCTGCATGGAAAGAGTGGGATTTGGGAAGCAGTTTGTGTCCACCTGGCGTGTTTCGAGGGCAGGGAGGGGAAGAGTCCTCAATGCTTTGAGCAGGAGCAGAATTCCCGGGGCGCTTGGATGCCCTTTGGGGACGAGGCTGATCCAGCTGGAACCGCGGGGCTGCGGCCGGGGTTGGGAGGGCGGGAGGAGGCAGGGAGGAGGCAGGGAGGAGGCAGGGATGTGCAGGGATGTGCAGGGAGGAGCCGCCGGGAGCGCGGGATGAGGCAGGGCCGGGGTGGTTCCCGCAGGGGGGAGATGGGAGAGGGAAGGGCAGGAGGCGGCTCCGGGGGGTCGGGGGGGGGTCACCACAGCTTCGCTCCACTCCCGCCCGGCCCCGGCTCAGGGGTCGGTTCCGTTTCATTCCCGGGGGGTCCGGGGGGTCCCCTCTGACAGGTGTTGGAGTTTGAACCCGAGTTCGCTGTCGTCCCTGCCCCGCCCGGTTCCGCACCCGCAGTGACTCCCGGATCCCGCACACCGTCCCCATCTGTAACGCTCTCCCATCCCGACGGTGTGGCTCCTGGTCCCTGTCCTGTTGCTATAGCATTGTGCCTGTCTTATGTATAATCACATCACCAAAAAAAAAAAACCAAAAAAAAAAAAAAAAAAAAAAAAAAAAAACGGGAAAAAAATTACAAAGGACTTTTTTTTTTTTTTTTTTTTTCCATTTTGTAATCGTAAAGAAATAGTCGCTGAACTGCTTCATGGTCGGGGTTTTCACAATTTTCAACATTATCTCGTGGTTTTGGTTCTGTTCTAGTTTAAAAGGATCCGTCATCGTTTCTTTAAAACAAACAAACAAACAAAAAAACCCAACAAACAACGGCGCTACCATATCCCTCTGCAGAAGTGCTTTTCTATTTATAAGGTTGAAAATTCTGAATAACCCTTTTAGCATTATAAAAACCACACACACACACACACAAAAAAAAAAAAAACCAACCCACCTTGTATTTTGTAAATATTTTCTTTTCCTGCTTTGAGCTGTGTAATGTCCTTGTTATATAGAAATGCTTTTCTTCCGAGAAGCTGATCTTTGTTAATGTCTTGATTCTGTTGGCAAAGCACAAATGTGCTTATAAAAAAAAAAAAAGAAGAAAAGATTAAAAAAAAAAATTAAAACGGAATATTCCATGTGATGAGTGTGCAATACCAGGCTGGGATGGGGAAGGGGCCCTTCGGCGCTCTCAGATCAGCCCCTTCCCTCCCACGCCACTTTTCAGTGGCCTCTTTTTCCCTCTGTGATGTTATTTCCCAACCATTGCTCTCAGTGAGAGGAGGAATTGTCTGGATTTGGGCTTTGCTCTGGGGCAGGTGATGGAGCAGGACCAGGGCTCAGTGGTGCCTCCCTGGGACCGAGCTCTGCTTCCCATTGCTCCGTCCAAACACCCAGGCTGGGGTTTAATTTTCGTTTTTGGGGTTAACTCAGTGCTGCTGGTTCACACCCAGGGACTGTTGGTGGGGAGTATTTGCCCCCTGTGGTGGGATTGGTGTGAGTTCAGTGTTTGCAGGAGGTGAGTGGGGGGAGGCAACTTTGTGGGTGCTCCTATAGTCCCAAAATAAGGGAATTATACTCTGTGCCTCGTTATTCCCACAGATGGGAAATGGGAAGGTGCCATTTGATTATTAGCCAGGAGATCAAAGTATGGGCATCGCCAGGTTCAGTACAAGGCATTAACAGGGCAGGAAGAATCCAATTGGAAAAGCAAACAGTGGCAGGAGCAGCTGTGCCAGGCTGGAAAGTTCTCCCACCTGCAGGCGAGTCCTGAGGAAGGTGCAGAGTGAAGGGACCTTGTGGTGGCTCCTGGACTGCAAGTGGTTGATTGGGCACGGTGGAATTTGGTAAAAGATCCTGGAGGTCTTTTCCAGCCTTAATGATTCTGTGATTCTATGAAAGCTGCAGCCCTGAGGGGCTGGATGGGGCTGGAGTTGGGGAATGTGGCGCTGCCAGGACCCAAAGCAGCCCCTGGCTGTGGGGGCAGAGCAGGGTTTGGTCTTGTTCCACCATCTGAGAATGTCCTGTCCACGGTCAGGGACCAAAAATAACACAACACTTGGGCTTCCTGGCTGCTGGGGCTCTGCCCTGCCCACCAGACACCCCCTCCACTTCCTGCACCCCCCCGTGCCCCAGGGAGAAGGGTGGGAACTGGTACTTCAAAAGTGAAAACTAGTCCCTGCCTATCCCTGCTGCTCCCCACCAGCTGATCCTCCAGCCCCGAGGGATCAACCCACGAGCAGGGACCTCCCCCCCTCCCCTGTCCCTGCTCCCCCACCGAAAAGAGGCGCCCGTTGTCGTTATCGTAGTAATGACTTTATTTCCAAATTCACTTTTACGGCAACAGTGTAAACCAGTTGTTAAACACACGATACACTATGGACACCCACAGACAGAAGCTAAGCTAGAATGATACACTGAGATCAAACCTTCCCTCCCTGCCCCGGCGCAGCGCGGGGGCAACGGAGCTGCCAACGCCACACAGGCTGGCACCGACCTTCGCTAACAACCAGATCCTTTTTGGAGTGCAGAAATAGGTTTGTTTTTTTTTATTTTTTTTTTAACCAGTGCCGGTTTTAACCCTTTTCAGACCAAGATGTGTGTGGAGTAAAGGAAAAGCTGGGGGTCAGGCTGCTCACGGGGACCCTCAGGCCTGGGTCTGAACGCAGGGTCAGGGCTGGGGACGTGGCTCGGGTTGGTGGAGGGGACAGCGGGCGACGAGGTGGATGGAAAGGGCTGTCCTGGGACTCCCCCAGCCCCCGGGAGGGGGACGGCAGACGGGGCTGAGGACACTCGCAGCGGGAAGGGGCTGCTCACTGGAGCTCGGCGCACGCGAAGGGCGTCCCTGTCCCTGGGTGCTGCACAGAGGGGCTGGGGTGGCACAGGGCAGGGGCAGGGTGGGCCAGCTCAGCTACACCGTCCTGCAGCCCAAAAGGGATAAAGGGGGTGATGCTTTCGGGGTTCTCCCACTTGCTCGTTTTACAGAGGACAAAAACCGCGGCGGCTCCTACAGCGCTACAGAGTCGGGGACAGAGCACGGCTACAATCATGGAGTCAACTGAACGGAGAGAGACGAGCTGGACGTGGTGGTGCTGCTGGACCAGCCTCTCCCCAGCAGTAAAGCAGCTCCTGGGGCTGCAGAGAGGAGGGTTGAACCCCCCGAAACAGCCATCCCCAAGCCCCAGCCAGGCATCCAGCGGCCCCCCGAGGCACAGGGCGCACGAAGGCGGGTCTGCAGCTCCTGCAGGGTGGGAGTGAGTCCTGTCCTGGGAGGAATCGCTGCTCTGCCCGGGAACAGCTGCTCTGGCAGCCTCGGTGGCACCCAGCCACCTCCCCAAGGACAACCAGGGCCCCACGCCCCAGCATGACCCTCTGCCAGCCCCATCAGACCAGGATTCCGGCCCTTGCTGGGAAAGCGTGGCTTTCCCTGCAGCACAGCCCTTGGGGTGCACGGCCTGGGGCCCACGCGGTGCCCCCTCTGCCCTCACCTCTGCCAGCTGTGCCCCCGGAGCTCGGCTGGTGCCTCTGGGGGACACAGGGTGGGAGGACACACACAGAGCTGCACTGGTGGCATCTCAGCCTCTTTGGTTGTAGAGGGAAGGGGCAGTCGGGGACGGCCACAGGACCCCCTCGTGCTCCCCAGGGAGCCACAGGAACAAAAGTAGCAAAAGAAATAAGCGGCTCCTGTCCCTGAGCGGTGCCGGGGGCGGTCAGTGCTGCGTGAGGGGACACTGGGAGGGGTGACACGCTGCCAACTCAAACCCGGGGAGCGCCCGGAAAGGGGGTTCAGTGCCAGGGAGCAGCCGCTGGGCCCCGAGCTCAGGCTGGGGGAGCTGCTGCACCTCCCTCGCGCCTTCCCCGCGTCCTCCCGGGGGTCTCCTACGGCTGCCACCGGCACAGCAGGGCCACGGAGCTGCCACCTCCGCCATCGCTGAGCTGACCTTGCAGGGAAAGAAAGAGAACAACCCAAAAATGTCACAAGCTGCACCCAAAATCCAGGAGCCATCCCAGCCCTGGAGCTGTGAGTGCCCCTCACCCAACACCCCGGGGGGCTGGGAGGAGGTGCCCGGCCCCGGGGAGCCCAAGGCAGCCCCCGGCCCTCCCCGGGGCGTGGGGCAGCGGCTCTGTGCCCACCTCCCACCCGGCAGACATGCAGTGCCGGGCTGCCCCGGCACAACCCGGGGCTGGCACAACCCAGAGCCCGGCCGAGCTGCCCGGACCCCCCCGGCTGGGCTGCGGCGGAGCCGGCGCGGGGCAGCTCAAAACTACTTACAGCATTTATTATTTTTTTTTTTTTTTTAAACACATGCTCGTTTATGAAAACAATCACCCTGGCACGGTCCAAGCATATACAGACAAATCTACTCTACGACACGAGGGGCTGCCAAAGGAATGGGGAAAAGCCTCTACTCATCCACTCAGCGGTTCCAGCACAGCCACGGAGAGGGGAACGGCCGTCGGGGCCCCTCCGCAGCGGGTACCCCGGGGTCGCCTGTACTCCAGCTGCCGGAGCTGAGAGCGGGGTTGGGGGGTACCTGGCCGTTATCTTCAGACACATCTCGGCTTTCGGAGATAAAAACAAAAGGTTTCTTCCAAATCAGCAGGCAAATTTAAGGCAGGGAGGGAGGGCACCTCCCCGCAGTCCCTGGCTGTGCACCCAGGACGCGCCCGGCCCTCAGGCCAGCCCGGCCATCCTCAGGGGGGCGAGGGTGGGAAGGTCACAGCCCCTTCCCTGAGGGCCACCCGCTGCCCCGTGCCGGTGTGGGGTGCTCGGGTCAGCGCCGTGCGGGGGCCGTCCCCTCGGGCCCCCTCCCCGGGTGGTCCCGGGCAGGGCTGGGACAGCGAGGGACGCGGCAGGGAATGAGGGGGAGCGTGGGGACAGGGACGGGCTGTGCGCTCCGAGGAGCAGGGGGAGAGGAGGTTTTGTACCTCATAGTGTCACTGATTTTGAAGTCCTGGAGCTAGAGCTGAATGAACAGTAAAAGCAGGTTAAATCATTAACCAGTTAGGGACGGGGAAGCAGCTGTAAAAGGAACAGAGGAAGAAGGCCAGATTATTATTTTTGTTTCTTTTCTTTTTTTTTTTTTTTTTTTTTTTTTTTTTGTTTCCTTTCCTTGTCTTCTCTCCTGGTCGCCGTCGTGCCCCGATCACAAGCCCTGCTTGGCCAGCGAGGCAGACACCTCGTCGGCTAGCGTGGCCAGCTGGGGGGAGTCCACCAGGTTGATGCTGCCGGTGGAGGAGACGTTGCTAAGGCGGCGCGGGGAGGCATCTCCGGAGATGGTGGGGGACTTGTAGACGATTTCGGCGCCGTGGTCGGTCTTGGCTTTGGCGTTCTCGCGGAAGGTCAGCTTGTGGGTCTCAATCTGCGAGGAGAGGGGAGGGCGGTGAGGGGGGCACGGCCGGGGGGGCTGCCGGGACCTGCCACGTGCCTGCTCCAGCACGGCCGCTGAGAGGTGGGAGCAAAGCTCAGAGCACTGAACCAGTGCCCCCAGTCCTCAGGGATGTCCCTTCCAGTCCTCAGGGATGTCCCTTCCAGTGGCCTGCACAGGGAACGGGCACAGCCGGAGGGGATCGCAGGACCGGAGCATCTCGGGATGCTGCAAGATCCTCCCCAGGTGTGGTGGTGGGTCCCAGGACTCCAAGGGCACAGCCTGGGTTGCTCTCACTCCCCCAGCAGAGATTTTGGGGGGGGGTAGAATTCCCATATGGCTCATGAAGCTTCCCCTTAACCCACAGAGCTGCTCTCAGAAGCCAAACCCCTCTCCCGGCGAGCGGAGGTGAACTGGACGGGGTTTGCTACTTACTGGTGCCCTCCCCAGCCGAGTGCAAGGCTGGGAGCTGGCTCTCCATGAGGGTGGGCGGCTCCAGCACCAGGGCCTGGAGCCCAGCAGGGTCTGGGCTCGGGGTCCAGGTCTTGTCTTCCTTGCCTTTCTCTCTCTACAGGTGAAGAAACCCGCCCAGGGAGGTGGGGGGGCAAAAAACGCATCAGCAACAAAAACCACGACCCAATAAATGTCAGCCAGAAGGAAAAAAGACCAAAAATATAGAAAAGAAATAGAAAATTGTGGAGAAAAAGATCTGAAAAACAGGGTCATTCACTGACTCATAGGAAGAAGAGTGGCTGCCTTTGGAGCTGGGGAGGAAAACTCTCCAGGTGTGCCAAGGGAGAGCACAGGCACTGTGGCACAGCACGGAGCACCCCGGCTCCCCAGAGAACCCCCACTGCCAGAGCAGCACAGGAACCAGAGTTCAGCTTGAGGAGCTGTGGACTGCAAGTCCAAGCCTGGATCTGTGTGTCACACAGCAAAGAGGGGACTTGGGGACACAGGAAAGGCTGGGGAAGGGGCAGCAGAGCCGCCCACAGCTGCTCTGTGTGGAGGGTTGGTGGGGCTCAGCTGTGTCCCGTCCCCTCCCTGTGTTCCACCTTGGAGCAACACTGCCCCAGGATGATTCTGGTGTGGATAGGAGTGGGCTGGAGAAGGGAAGCAATCTGAGGCAGCACCTGAACTCGGTTACAACCACAACCTCCTCCAGGTGTGGGTATAGGCTGAGGTGGTGATGACACTGCTGGGTCACATCTTTGCAGAGAAATCCCTCTACAAAGGGCAAGCCCTTCAAACTATGGCCCAGTGAATGTGCTGGGATGTGACAGAACTGCCACAGTAACCACAAAACCCATGGCAGAGGGCTCAGGGAAGCACAGGGAGGCTGATGCGCAGCAGAGAGAAGGGTAAGGAAGTCAAGTGGTCCCGCAGTCAGAGGCCGGCTGGAGGTGAGAGCTGGGGGTGCACAGAGAACACGTGGCCAAGAACAAAGTGCCAAAATACAGGAGCTGAAACAGAACCTTCCCCTCCCACTGAGAAAAAAGTGCTCGAAAAACAAGCAAGATAAAAGTGCTTTTTTTTCCCCCGGGGAGATCGACCCCTGTCTGTCCCCAGGCTGGAGTCTCAGCTCTGTGCTTACCTGATGTCCTCACTCCCTGGCCTGCTGGGGACTTGGTGGCCTTGAAGCCAAGCTGTGGGGGTTGTTTTACTCAGCTAAGACTCACTGAAGTTGCCATCAAAGCCTCAGTGGGAACAGCTCACCCCAAATTCATTGTTTCCCTGACCTGAGTGGCTTTTGTGTTTCAATTTAAGTCCCCCACAAGCACCCCCTCCCTACACAGAGCCCTTGGCTAGGAAGGAGAGATCACCTTCTGAAGGGCCAGACTGCTGCAAAGTCACCTGTTCTAAATAAAGCCGAGCTTTAAATGCTCCACTTGCACTGGGATCCAACACCTCTGCAGCTCCCTGAGCTGCCACTGCACCAACCCAGAGTGCACAGGAGCTGCTGCTGGTGACACTCCTTCGTGAGAAAGGTTTGAGACACAAACACGAACTTCAGAGACGGCAGAAAGAGCAGGAAACCACAGCAGAGGCTGTCACTGACACCCGAACTCATCCGTGTGGCCACGGGCCAGGAAGGGCCCGGCCTGGAGTCCTGGCAGCTCTGCCACAGCTCTGCTCCAGCAAACGTCCCCTGGGTTGGGACAGGCAGCCCAGGAGCCCTGAGCAGGACCCTCTCCAAGCCCAGACTCCCACCCATCTTCACTTGCACGCCTGCTCACAGCCAGACACAGCAGAAGGTGCCTGTTCCCAGCCCAGTGCCCCTTTACCTTTTTATTCCCTCCTCCAGGGACGTGGCTGATGTTATCTAAGGACCCGATTTTCGATTGCACCTTATCTTTGAAGTCCAGTTTCTCAGATTTCACCTCCACCTGGCCACCACCTGGAGTGAAGAGCAGGGGCTGGGTCAGCAGCCAGGTCACTGAGGTCTGAGCTGCTCCAAGGAGACTCAGCCACAGCCCTCTGAGGCTGAGCAGAGGGTGAGGCCCGGGGAAACAGCAGCAAAAGGGACCCCGTGATGATTTGGGAAACCCAGGAGTCAGGGCAAATAGGAGTCAGGGTAAAGAGACCTACCAAAGGATGCTCTGCAGAGCTGGCACACACCCCAATGTTTTACAGAACTGAGGGCAGGGAGCTGACCTTGATCTCCTAAACCAGCAGCCCCCCGTTTATTCCTAAATACGTCTCACAAAGGTATCCATGGATCACAGAACAGTTTGGGTTGGAAGAAACCTTAAAGCCCATCCAGTCCCACCCCCTGCCATGGGCAGGGACACCTTCCACCAGCCCAGGTTGCTCCAAGCCCCGTCCAACCTGGCCTTGGACACTTCCAGGGATCCAGGGGCAGCCCCAGCTTCTCTGGGCAACCTGTGCCAGGGCCTCCCCACCCTCCCAGGGAGGAATTTCTTCCTAATATCCAATCTACGTCTACCCTCTTTCAACTTAAGGCCATTCCCCCTCGTCCTGTCACTCCAGGCCCTTGTGAAAAGTCCTTCAGATGACACCAGATTCCTCCCCTGCTCGGAGCACTCAGGCAGACAGGAGCAGGTCTGGCAGTGACTGAGCTGGGAACAGCATCCAGCACTCCAGGGCTCACTCTGGTGCTCCAGTCACTGCTCCACCTGCCTGCCCTCACTCCCTGCCCTATCCCAACCCTCTCCCCATCTCCAGACACACCACAGCACAGCCCACCAGCTCCCAGGATCAGCACAAGGCCAAAGGGTACCTGGTTTGTGGTGGATGTTGCCCAGGGAACCACATTTGGATGTCACATGGCTCAGGTCGACTGGCTTGTAAACGATTTGAACCTGCCCGTGGGAGAGAGGAAAAAGGGATGAGCTCATTGCCAGGATGGACTGGCTGGGGAGGGGGAGCACAACACACAGCGGCACCTGAGCTGGATTGGAGGGAAAGGACAGCTCAAACCCCAGGAAGATTAATGATACAAAAGAAACCATCATCAGAAATGGGAGATCATTAATGCCCGTGTGCAGTAGCCTCTTAACATGTCAGCATGCACGAGATCACCTCTCCACAGAGGGGGGAATAGAGGCAATTTTAAAGTGCTCAAGTGAGAGAGAAAGTGGAGTGGTAATTAATTAAGATTTGCATACACATCATCCAAAAGGAGGAGATATACCAGAGAGAAAACGTAAAAAATAAATACCTTTTCTGGTGTAAAACATAAAGCTTATGTCCACAAAAACTGAAAGAACAGAAATGATCAATGTGCACAGAACTTTTAAAAGAGTGACCAAAATATGCATTTCTGAAAAATGCTGTAACGGAAATAAGGGTTAAAAAAACGGGGGGGGGAGAAATAAAAAAGCAAAGAAAAGTCTAAATATCTGGAGATCACATCATAAGAGATTAAAATGTTATAAAATATCGAAGCACAGCAGCATTTCGTGACATTTATGCTCTGTTTGTGATTTGCTTGTCCCGTCATTGTCTCAGAACAAGGGCTGCAGCAATTCCACGGATCCCGCCCCGCTCACGGACCGCGGGGCCGGCGGGCTCTGCCCACGGACAGCGGTGACACGGGACACACACACAGGAGGGACGGCAACGAGGGGCTGGTTTAGTGCTACGTTAGCAGTGAAACAGCACACCGGGAACAGCCCCGGCCGCAGAGGGCTGGGAGGAGCCCCCCGGGACGGCAACCACGGCACACACACGGCAGCTACGGCAGGAGCAGGAGACAAGGGGGGAGGAAACATCCCCAGAACCCCACGAGTTACCTCACACCCTGGGTTTGGACCCACGCCTGAGTGTGGGTCAGTTGTTGCTGGAGTTGGTGGGGCTGTGCAGGAGAAACTGGACCATCAACACCTCGGGGGTGGTTCCCACGCACTGGGGAGTGTTTGGCTCTCGGGGACAGCCTGGATTTCATGGGGAGCATGTGCTGCTCTCCGTGTTTTCTCCAGCATCACATTTGTGCTGCTCTCACAAATCTCAGGAAGGATGTGCCAGCATCAAAGGGAGCTTTGGAGAGGAGCTGACTCCTCCCTCCCAGCAGCCTCCAGACCAGCACAGAGGATTCACCACAGCCACTGCTCTCCATCACACCCGAGAACCCCGTGCTGACTCAAACCCCAGGGGAAGGTGCACCCTCCAGTCCTCATGGTGGCCCCATCACCCTCAGAGCTGGGTGCTGGATTGTCACACCCCTGAGAAACACTCCCCCTCCATCACAGAGCCAGGAAAAGGATGGGAGCAAATCTGGTCCCACCAGCACAGAGCCCTGTGCTGACCTGCCTTGTCTCCGATGCTCACGCAGACCAAAAGGCACATTTGACAGGAGACAGAGAGTGGGGGAATGAACCCCCAGGGCCTTGGAGCACATCGTGGACACAGACACAGAGACAGAGTTGGGGAAAGGTCACACGTTTAATGCACTGGACAAGACAGGAGCCAGATTTGGTCGGAAGGCAGGAAAGGGACCCGAAAAGGGCAGCTGGGGCCTTTCTAATCCCAGCTGTGACCCCAAAGGGCCTACGAGCAATTCAGGCACCACTGAGACCTGGGACTGAAAGGCCTCCCATTTCCAGGGCAAACAATCAGCAATTGGAACATTCTGCTCTCATTCCAGTCCCTTTTTTGACAGACAGGACTCCATTATCCCTTCCCATCCTGCTGGGAGCAGAGAAGGATCCTCCCCATTTTAGCAAGAAAGGAAAACGGGAACAGAGTAGTTTGCCTGGGAAACTAGTGCCAGAGACCTTGGGATCCCACCTCTCAGCATCAGAAGTGCTTTTTGCCTAATGCATCACCTGGTCAGAGCATCCATGGGCTTAAAATCCAGGTACCCAGCTCAGGTAGTGACAGTTCCCCCTGGAAGCAGGGATGGCTGGGCAGGTGGTCCCTGGGGGTTTAAGATACAATGGCCATCAAAGCCTGGGGGTCTCTTGTTGCCCCTCTCCCAGAGGAGCCCCAAGGCCCATCCCTGCCCCCAGGACGGCCTGCACAGCCATGTCAGCTCAGGGCTTTGCTCCAAGAGCTCCCAGAGCTGCTGCAGCCAGGCACAGATCACAGGGTTTTCAGTGCTGGCAGGGCCTGGGGAGGGATCACAACCCCCAGCCAAAAATCCAGATAATTCTTAACCCGGTTCAGCTGCAATCGCTCGCCCACGGTGTGAGCTCTCTGTGGAGGAAGGGACGGGCTCAGCACGCCGTGCTGGAGCTCAGCAGCAGCCACAGCACAGGGGATCTGTGGCCAACACCAGCTCCCATCACACACCAGGCAGCCCAGCCAGTGCAGGACTCCAGGGTGAAGAAGAGGAACAACCATGGAATCGCTTCACAGGGGTCTGGGCTCGCAGAGCAGCTCCTCTGGCCCATGAAGGAACTGCAGAATGACACCAAATTTGAGCCAGAGGCTGCAAACCCAGCTGTGTCCCTGCGAGCGTGTGCCAAGCCCTCTGCAAATGCTCAGTTTCTCAGGGAGGGCGTCCACAGAGATCAAGGAAAGCCCATGAAAATCCATGGGGAACATCTGAGATGCTCCCTCAGATGGCCACAGACCAGGCCCCCACAGACCACGGGTCGCACTCTCTGGGGTCTTCCTTGGCCCGTCATCTTTCCTGGTCCCAAACTGTCTCCAGTGAAACTGCTGTAAATCCACCAACCTCTGTGGAGTCTCTCCAGGTTTCTGGCACAGTAACTGAAAGCTGAGTCCAGTATTTATCAGGGAACAGCTGGAAATGCCAGCGTTCAAATCAATTAACTCAACAGTACTTTAGGCTCAGCCTCCGTGGGCGCTGCCGGACACATTCGTTAGCAAGGAGAAGCTTAATATTTGCATGGATCATACTTGCCTGATGGGAACGGGCAGGAACCTGCACGTTCATCTGTTGGGCAGGATCATGTCCAATTTAGCAGCACATTAAGCAACGAGGACTGGGTCTGCTCATAAATTTACTCGTCTCCTACATCACTGTCTGCCAGAGCCCCCACCCCACAGACAACGAGGTTTTCAGCCTTCCAGGTAGTGCCAAACCCTGGAGTTACTGGGATGTTTTGTTACAGACATGGTTTGGACACAGGGCAGTTAGTTCTGTCCATGGCAGGCATGTCCAGGACTTGTTAGGGTTCATCTCACCATGTCTTTCAGGTTAATGGGGTTAAATGACAGCACGTCCCCAATGGCTATGTGACAGCAAGGTGGCTGCAGATAGCATTGGTGATTAGTGTAACAACATGCCACTAAAATCAGGATTATCACAGTGCATTCAAAGTGTGAAGGTACTCACACTGCCTCCGCCCGGGATGTGTTTGATATTATCCTTTGAGCCACACCTTGATTGAACGTTGCTAAAGTCCAACTTCTTATTAACAATCTGCACCTTTGGTAGCCAGAAAAGAGTCATTGCACGTCACCAATAGCTATCTGATGGCAGGATCGCTGCAGATAGCATTGGCAGTTTAGTGTACACAACATGCCACTTATAATAAGAACTATTATAGAGCATTGAAAGTGTGAAGGTACTCACACTGCCTCCGCCCGGGATGTGTTTGATATTATCCTTTGAGCCACACTTGGATTGAACGCTGCTAAAGTCCAGCTTCTTATTAATAATCTGCACCTTTAGTAGCCAGAAAAGAGCGTGAGAAACAACGTGACCATCTGCAGCTTGACCATGTGTTATATCCCTAAAACCAGGAACCTGCCTTTCAGTGCTGAGAAAAAGGAGAATCTCTGCCTTGCTGCACGGACTGGTGTACTCGTGGGCTGGAAACTGAAGATGGAGGTGGGCAGGTTACAGCTAGAGACTGGACACGTCTGGGTAGTGATGCAGCCCTGGTTCCCAGGCCACAAACACCAGCCAGAAATGAGCTCAGCCCATTTTCTTTCACTGAACAGAACGGGGAACTTGCTGGGCAGCGAACCCGCTGAAAGGCACTTGAGACTCCACAGTGCTCTGAGACTCAGCTTCTGCAGAGCCTGTGGAAGGAGGAGGGGTGGAGCTGAGAGAAAACTGCCTGTCCAGCCCCAGCTCCCATGCTTGGCATCCTGATCCCCCTCTGGGACAGGCACACCCGACCTTGGGCAAACAAGTGCTGCTGGCCAGGCTGGAGAGCAGGAGCTGCATGTCCAGCACTGGGAAAAGATGCCTGAGCTCTGCTCTGCACAGGGCTCAAACTCCCTCTACAGCTAGCAAGAGAAAGCAGACACTGCCAGGGATGCAGTCCCATGCCAGGGATGTGGCCCCATCCCAAGGATGCAGTTCCAGGCCAGAGATGTGGTCTCAAGCCAGGAATGCAGTCCCACATCAGGGATGCAGTGCCAGGCATGCAGCCCCATCCAGGGATGCAATCCTAGGCCAGGGTTGCAATCCCATCCCAGGGTTGCAGCCCCATGCCAGGGAGGCAGCCCCACACCTGCAGTTTCCTTAAGCCCTGTGGGATGACAGGGGTAGCCCAGCCCACTCCCCAGAGGCAGCAGCTCTGTGGCATATTCCCAATGCCATCTCCCATGGGAGAGAGGCTGGAAACAGCTCGGTGCCACATGGGAACCACGTGCCACGCCAGCTACACCCTCCAGCCCCAAAGCCTTCCCTCCACACACGGATTTTTGTGCTAATGAAGCTGGTTCTATTTCGGGCTTGTTCTCCCCACTTGGCTGTGTAAGAGCAGCTATACTGGAGCGACCTCCTGCATCAGCTATTCCAGGCAAAACGAGGATAAAGATTGTCCCTGCTCCTTCCCCCACGCACTCTGGAGTGGCTTTACAACCTACACAGGTGTAAATGCAGGTAACAACCCGCAGGCCTGAGCCTGTCTGAAGCACAACCCCGTGAGAGGGACCATCCTGCAGTGTCACATCCCTCAGCCCCCGATGGCCCCGTCCCCGAAGCCAGCTCAGCAGGCACCTCATCTCCATCCCAACACTCCATCCCAGGCCTGCTGCTGCCAGGAGAGCTCCCTGCTATTCCCTGCTTCTCCAGCGTGAGAAGCACCAAGGCTGGTATGTGCCTGAAGCATGATTTTCCAGATTCACATCAACTAATCCCACAAACCACGACCCAGTTCTGCTAGACCAGGCTTTGCCAGAGCAGCACTCGGTGATCCAGCGACAACAGAAGTGCTCAGACCATGCAGAAACACTGGAAGAGATGTGGCTTGGCTGGCTCCTGGTGTGTTTTTCCCCTTGCTCCTTTGCTTCCCTAGGCTGGGGGTCTGGAATCTGCACAGAGAGCAGGCTCCAGACCCATTCCTGATTTCAGCCTCAAATCAAACTGGTGGGATCAGCCCCTTCTGCTCCAGCTGCAACCATTCTGCTGAGAGCAGCCTCATGTCCTACAGAACCCCCAACAGAGCACCCAGCCCTTCTCCCCTGCAAAGAGCAAGGAATTGTCCCAAGTTCAGCTGCTCCCACTCTTCAGTAACAACAACAAACACGTCTGACAGAGAAGCAGAGAGAGAAAAAAAAACCAACTTGTAAAAGCTGGATTAAAAAGAACGAGTGAATAATTTAACCAATTTCCAGTAAACAGAAGGGTTCCTTCTAAAATCCCAGGAGAACGGGGTTTGTGGGGGTGGGAGGAAAATCCCATGACTTGTGCTAAGTGGGCAGGAGGGCTGAGGCCCCAAAAAGGACACGTGCTGCTCTGCCCATGACCCAGGCTCCAGAGCCCCACTGGATTGTAGCACAAAGCCAGTAAATCTCCAGCCATGGCAGAAAATGCCCGGAAGGCCATGGAAAAGCAGGCTGCCATTTCCAGGGGTGCAGAGGAGCCATCCCAGAGCCTCCCCCCTGTGCCAGAGGCGAACGTTCAGAGCCATGGAGGTCACACAAAATGCCATGCACAGCACTCAGGGAATGGTTATTATGGCTCTGCAAGGCCTGCAAGCCAGGTAGTGTCACCCCAGAGCAGGCAGTGTCACCCCCAGGGCAGGTAGTGTCCCCTCAAAACAGGCAGTGCCACCCCCAGGACAGGCAGTGTCCCTTGCCAGGCTTGCAGAATTTAACCAAGACCCTCATTCCCAAGCACCTGGAACACAGAGGTCACTTTGCTGCTTGTGAAACAGCTTCTCTGGGAGTGAAAAGTGGTTGAAACGATAAAAGTGCCACCAGTTCTGGCCATGCCACACTGCCCACGTAGCCACACAGCGCCTGATGGCAGAACACAACCCAAACCCTTGACAACAGAGCTGGATCCAAAATCCCAGTGTCTGGAAAAACTTGGGGTCCGAGCCTGGGCCCCTCAGGAGGAGGAGACAGATCATCCTCCTGCTCACTAACAGAGGGACTGCTCCGGTCACAGTGTAGGATCCATAAACACAGCCCTGATCCCACCACTCCTGAGGGCTGCAGGCCACAACCTGCTGTCCCTAACTGGACAATCTGTCCCGAACTGGACAATCTGTCCCTAACTGGACAATCTGTCCCTAACTAGGGACAATCTGTCCCTGACTGGACACCACGAGGGAATGCCATTTCCCTGGAAGCCACTCCACGAGACCCACACCATGAGCTCTCCGTTGGACAGCTGAGCTTTACTAAGCCAGGCAAGGAATTCCAGGCCAAGCCCCCAACCCAGTCAACCCAAAACCCAGCACCAGGCTGGAGCCCAGCTGAAGTCTGGCTGCCCACTGCCCACAGCTGCTGCCGCTCCAGGGAGGCTCTCCCACCCCGGAGGGAGCATCCAGCACCCGCTGCCCCCACAGCCAGGCCCCTGGGGAAGCAGAGTCCACGTTTACCTTGCCACCTCCGGGCTGGTGCTTCAGGTTTTCAGTGGAGCCGATTTTGGACTTGACGTTTTTCAGGTCGGGCATGGGCGCGGCCGAGGGCTGGATGCGGGTCTTGGCAGACGCCGGAGATTTCGGTGGGGTGCGAACCACTGCCACCTTCTTGGGCTCCCTGGCTGGTGGGGTGGGCAGAGAGGGGGTGCGGGAACGGCTGCCTGGAGTCCCGGGGGAGCCGGGACTGCTGTAACCGCTTCTGTCTCCAGACTTTGGCTGCTCACCTGGAGGTTGCAGACAGGGAGTGAGCGCGGGTGGGCAACCCGGGCACACACCACCCCTTCCCTGCTCGCTCCCTGCCTTTTTGGGGTCGATGTCCCCGGTCCCAGAGCCCACCCCGCTACTCCCAGTGCACGGCTGCGCTTTCTTCTACTCCATTTTGAAGGAAAAACTGTGATTTAAAGGCAATTTCCTAATATCTCAGAAGGAAGACGGTCTCCACTGCCTGGGTCACTGGTAAAACTCCCCACCCAAATGTGGCATTGGCATGCATGACGAATTACAGACAAAAGACACTCAAAAACACATTTCTATTAGAAATTTGGAAGCATTTTTACATATCTTTTTTCTCTGTAATTAAATAAGGCTGGTTGCTGAGCAGCTTAGAACTGTCCCCAGTTCGAAAAGAAAATGAAAGAAGAAAAGAAGACCCTTAAACGTCACCTTTCTCAGTCTTTGCTGCTGCAGGAGGTGGTTTTTTCTGCTCCTTTCTGCCTGTTTAGTGAATGAGAAAGATGCTTAAACATAATAAAGCTGGAAAATTAATTGATTTAAGGTTTTATGGAGCTCCAGTTAAGTATGAAATATATATATGTATATTCAGTGAAATGCACCATTTTAATGGAAATTCACAATGCCTGATGCTTTCTGGGGTTTTCTTCTCTGAGAATAATAATGGGCTAATCTCCATTCCTGCAATCGAAGAATTGATCCTCTTGCCCCTGGGTCTTTGTGAAATATTGTCAGAGAGAAAAGGAGTAGATGGATTAAAAAGGAGCTGCCTAAACCCTCCAAATTGGAGGGTATCCCAAAGGGATAAAGCAACTGCCCTCTCCTACACATGTGTGAACAGAGCAGCACCTGGAAAGGCTCACTCCAGAGGGCTCATCCCAGCTCCAGGAGAGGGCTGAGCAGCTCCCACCCCCCTGGCAGAGCTCAGCCTGTGCCGTGCCCCTGCCCGGGGCTGTGAGTTTGGCCATTAACCCCCCAGAGCTGCCCGGGGAACTGGGGAGCACCACTGAGGGCATCCCCACCGCGGTGGCGGGAGCAGGACACGGCTCCCACCGTCACCTACCGGAGCTGGGAGGGGTCTTGGGGGCCGTGGGGGTCTTTGCCGGGATGCGCGTGGCGTTGGTGGAGTTCCTCTGCGCCTGCCCCGAGCGCGGCGTGCCCGTCTTCGTGCCACCCCTCATCTCCGGGCCCTGGGGACACAAGGGGGGGCTGTCAGGGATGGGCTGTCACCCCCTCACGGGTCAGAGCACATGAGACCCTCCTGCTTCCTACACCCAAGGGTTCCCCACACCTGGAATGTGCCGGTTCACACCTTGTCTCCCGCAACAGCACCTGCCACAAGGAGAGCACAGCCACAACAGGGCACAGCCACAAGGAGAGCACAGCCACAACAGGGCACAGCCACAAGGAGAGCACAGCCACAACAGGGCACAGCCACAACAGGGCACAGCCACAAGCAGGGCACAGCCACAGCCAGGGCACAGCCACAGCCTGGGCACAGCCACAGCTTGGGCACAGCCACAACAGGGCACAGCCACAACAGGGCACAGCCACAGCCTGGGCACAGCCACAACAGGGCACAGCCACAGCTTGGGCACAGCCACAACAGGGCACAGCCACAACAGGGCACAGCCACAGCCTGGGCACAGCCACAACAGGGCACAGCCACAACAGGGCACAGCCACAACAGGGCACAGCCACTCCTGAGCTGGTGGAATGACTGTGACCTTTGAGCCCTTGGCTTCAGCTGCCCCATTCACCACCCCTGGTCTGCTGTGCAAAACTCCTTTGTTCTCTGAACTTCGTCACTTCATTTCCCCTGCCCTGCTAAAATTGTTACAGAAGATGCATAAATTCAAGAGTATGTTCAGCTCCTTTGTTCTCTAAATCTCGTCACTTTGTTTCCCCTGCTCTGCTAAAATTGTTACAGAAGATACATGAAAATTCAAGAGTATGTTCAACTCCTTTGTTCTCTAAATTTCATCACTTTGTTTCCCCTGTTCTGCTACAATTTCACACAGAAGATAAATTTATATCCATGAGTCAAGTGCCAGGCTTCAAACACTGGGAAGCACCTCAGATACCCCCACCTACAGTACACCACTGTCACACCTGCATCACCTGTAATGTCAGGTAAACTGCAATATCCTATCTATGGTCTCCTGGTCCTGCAGAAATCCTTCCCAAACCTCTGAACTCACACATCCTCTTTCTGGTGACTACTTAGTGCTGGTCAGTGTAAAAGCTCATGGAAAACATGGAACTGAAAATTTACAGGCTGACTGGTCCCAAGGCAGCAGGGAAGCAGAGTAGAACCAGTAAAACCACATCCCATCCTCTGTGAGAGGCACGGGTTGCCCAGAGAAGCTGTGGCTGCCCCTGGATCCCTGCAAGTGTCCAAGGCCAGGTTGGACAGGGCTTGGAGCAACCTGGGCTAGTGGAAGGTGTCCCTGCCCAGGGCAGGGGAATGGAGCTGGATGGGCTTTAAGATCCCTTCCAACCCAAACCATTCCGTGATGCTCTGATCCTGTGTGACCTGCAATCCCTGTGCTTTCCCTCACCACGGGTGTATTTGTGTGAGTGAACACAGCAAAGGGAACCCAGAGCTGGGTGTGTGTGCATTTCCTACAGCAGCACCTGGCAGGTCTGGCTGTGCCACACTGCAAACACATCTTGCTGTTTGCTGCCAACGCTCCCATGAAACACAGATAAAGCTGCAAAACAAGGAAGAGCCTAAAAGGACCTGGAAATGCCTCAGGGAGACCAGGTAACACCCTGCAGCGAGGAGCTATTTTTGCTCCACGTGCTGGTTCCTTCCAGCACCAGAACTGGAGCCAAACCTGTCCGTGGCCATGGGAAGGTGAAGCACATCCCACCCTCTCCACAGACCAGGGAGACTCAGCCAAGCACCATCACTCAGGAATGCTTTAAGGTATTCCCCTTTGCCTCTCTCACATCCCATTTCCTTACCTTGGCTTTCATTTCTGGCGTTCCTGCACTGGCAGCTCGGGGTGTGGCAGGAGGGACTCGCTTAGAGGCAGGAGCAGGGCTGGAGGGTGGTTTCGAAGGGGCTGTGCTAGAGGAGGTGTGTCGGTGGGGGGGGATGGAGGGTCTGTCCCCTGGGGGTTTGGCAGTGGAAGGCGAGGATTTCTTAAACGTGGAAACGTGGAAACAAAATAAAATGGGAACAAACGAAAAAAAAATCAGCATGGGAGGGAAACAAAACGGGATCAGCAACATAAAGTAGGATTAGAAGGTGCAATGCAGAGCTGGGTGGGGGATAGGTGTTAGGTGGCACTGCCAGGGCCCCGTGGCTCCTCCACCAAGTATGGGATACCCCAGATATTCCTTCCACAGGGTGCAGTGACACCCGAGCCCCTTCCCGGGGACAGTGTCACCCTGTGACAGCCTGTCCTTGCTTCTGCCTTCCACACCAGGGGCACGTTTCACCATCAGAACCCTCAATTCGCTCCCAAACCCTCCTCCTTCCTGGCAAAGGAACAGCACTACCAACACCAGCATTTCTGAGAGATGCAGGTGGCTGCTCCCAGCTCTCTCAACCCCATCCCACCTGCTCTGCCAAAAGCAGAGCACTGGTTTTATCTAGGCTTGGTACCACGTCTAATGCTCAGCCTGATACGACCCTGCCAGACTTCCCTAGAGAAAAATCCAATTTCACAGTGTTTGCAAATAATTCTATTCCTCACCTTCAATTTTTTACCCCTTAAACTGCCCCTCAGGTTGTCCATCATCCCCCTCAGGCACTAACCAAGCTAATGGCCAGATGAACTAAACCTCCTCCAAATTACCAGTGTGACAGATACCATTAAACCTCTGGAATCTCAAACTCTGCTGATGATCCCTGTGGATCCCTTCCAACTCAGGATATTCTATGATCTGCAAGGCCTAGATTATTTAATTTAATGTTTTAACTACATGTTTTGCTCTTTTCACTGTCATGCTGCTCATCCCCACTACACCCAGTGCAGTCTTGAGTCTGCCCCAAAGGCAGCTGCTGCTTTCCAGTGCTGGGCTGAGAAAATGATTTCTCCAACCCCACACCCAACCCCGTGAGCCACATGTTTGATTTAGGTTTGGATCGTTTCCTCACCCTCAAAGAACCCCATGGATTGCACCATCCAAACCAGGGTGAGGGAAGAAAAAATAAAAACACTGTTGAAAAACAAATGGAAGAATGGAAGGAAATGGGAAAGGTTTCCTAAGAGACACAACTGCAGGCCAGGAGAGCAGGAGAGGAGCCAGGAACATGCACAGGTGTCACCTCTGGCTTTATTTTTTAGCTCACCTTGGGTTTCTTTTCATCAGCTTCGGTCCCTTCCTTGTCAACACGACCTGACAAAGGGAAACACACAGTTACACCTCTTGGGACTGGTCAGGAACTCCAGAGAGAGGACAACACACGTGCTGGGGGCTGCTCCCTGTTCCCTGCTCACCCTTAAACTAAACTCTGTTCTTAGAAATATATTACCAAGTCACCATTTCCTGCAGAAATACTTCCCCATGGTAAACACATTCTTCCTGGGTTAACAGATGATCCATGTTAGTCATCACTGAGACGAGACACACCGACGAGGTTTCTATGAGAGCATTTCGCCCAGATCTGCACTCAGATCCAGCAGGATCCGTCCAGTTTAGGACAGAAAGTTCCCTTCAACGAGTCTCCCTCTCTAAAACGCCCACTAGTTCTAGCAAGTATATAAATAAAGACTCAAACCAAAGGATGCCCCAATCCAGCAGCACCGTGACCTCATTTAAGGTGGCTGTGCAGTGTGCTGGCTTTGCAGAGCACTTTTATCCCTGGATGTTGTTAATTCCCATCTCTCCTGACACACTGCTCTCTGCCTCCTAGCACAGTGCCCCTTCCACCTGGGTCAGTCTAATTAGGAGATTAAAAATGGGGAGGAAGTACTGTTTGTAGTACAAGGCACTTGTAACAGAGCCCTTTTCCCCTGTTTTCAGCTAATTCCTCCCCAGTCCGGGAGGAAAAGCTGCTGATATTGTTCCCAGTGTTTGGAAACTTGTCCTGAGGGGTCAGCCCCTTCCTGGTGACGTGGACCATGCTGTTAATCCAACACTGACCCATCCCAAATTCAGTTAAACTGCAAATTGGATCAAGGCTGGAGCTGAATAGCCATGGAGTATCCGTTTTGAAGGGAAAGACCATTAAATAATTGAATTTCTCCTACTGAATCAGAAGCTGGCTAGCTCTGGGCAATGCATCCCCACCCCACCATCATTCCAGGCTCCCGTGCAAGCCATGCCAGTGCCCTGCAGCACACGTGGGAAGCTTCCCACTGCTGATTCCATAGGGAACAACAAGAAATATGTTATGAGCTTTAGCTCTAATGGAAAAAGCTCCATCAACAATTTCTTCATGAGCCCCACGCAGCAAAGAGCACGTTCTGCCTGCTGCAAACCAGAGCAGCATTCCCAGGATAATGGAGGCAGCCAAGCCAGCTTTTGGGATGTGGAACTGCAGGGAGAAGCAGAGCCTCCCCCAGGATAGACCCTGGGCAGCCAGAGCTGAGGTACAACACTGTGAGACACCAACGTGTGTCCTGCTGTGTTAACACAACTCGTGACAAAACCTTCATCTGGACACTGAGCAGGGCCTCTAGTGACATTCCTGAGCCTCGGGAGGGGTGGGAAACAGCCTTGGAGAAAGGAGAGGTCTAAGGGATGCTCGTGCATTCAGCGGCGAACTCAGACCTTCCCCCAAAACAGCCCAGCCCTGCCCCACGGACTGTTAGATGCCTCCACGCCCACAGGCAGCTCCCACTGAACCCCCCAAATGCTCTGGAACGCCCAGGGACATCCCATCCAGAGCTGGGACTGGAGCAGGATGCTTTGGAAGAGCAATGGACATGCCTGGCAGTGAGGAAAGGCCCAGCTGGCTGCAGACCCTGCCTGCAGCAGCAGTCAGCAGTGGATATTGAAGGGGAAAGTATAAGAAACAGGATCAGTGCGGGGCTTCTCCATGGTTAGACCTGCCACCCTTGCCTTTTTCCTCCTCCCTCCTCTTTAGGAAAGCCAATTCCAAGAGTTATTGGACCAGACATGCAAACCAGATGGGACGTGTCCTGCCGGGATGAGCCGCAGCGCGCGCCAGGTCAGCCCCGCTCCAACAGGCCAGAACCACGTCCATCCGGTCCTCCTCTCCTCTGGGAAGGTGCCAGGTGGGAGTTAAGGTGCCCACCCAACGGATCCAAGGAAATCAAACTAAAAACAGGTGAAAAAAAAGCACGACTGGGGACACGCCAGCACCATGCAAGGGACGCAGAACGGCAGCACAAGGGTCTGGGAATCCAACCCGGGATTAAACAGGGAGGGAAGGACTGGGAGGGAGCAGCAGCGGCACGTTGGAGATCAGTTCACAGCGCAGATCCAGGCCATGTCCAAGCAGCAGGACTCGAGGTGGCAGCAAGCTGTGGTGCTGCATCAGGCAGCCTTGTTGGGAGCAAGCCACCGGTGAGCTGAGGGCAGCGAACGGAGCACACACCTTTGAGGAGAGGGACACGGCTGGCTTTGTCTGCAGCCGGGGCACAGGGCTGCTTCTGGGGCGTCTGACACTCCCCCGTGTCTGGCACAACCTCAGCAGCTTTGTCTTCCACATCACCTTTTAACTCAGAAGGGAGTTTGGCTGTTTCTAGCAAGGGTCCAGAATCTTCTCCCTCCCCAGGTTCAGCTTCTTTCTGTGGCTCTGATGGGGTGATGTCTGTACCTCCTTCACCCCTCAGTGGCTGCTGCTTCTCCTCTTGGTCCTCTCCTGCTTTCTGTGACTGAGTTTCAGCCACAGGTGCCTCTCTCGGGGTGTCTCTGGGGACATCTCTGGACTCTTCTCTATCACATTCTTCAAGAGTCTCCTTGGCTGTTGCTGGACACGAGCCTGCTTCAGGTCCTGGTGAAACCTGCTGACCCACCAGGGACAGCAAATCCTGCTCAGAAGTTTCATCAATATCACGATCCTCGTCCCTCTCCTGCCCACTGGAATCTTCCTTTAATGGAGTTTTGGTACACAAAGGAGGTCCATCCTTATGGTCACCTGTGCCCCCTGCTCCTGCCAGCACATCACGGCCCAGCTCTGGCTCCACGCCAATGCCTTCTCTGCCTCGCTGATCCCACAGCTCACCGCTGCCTTCGGATGCTCTGGAGCCTTGGTACATATCCAGGGGGATTGGGATGGTGACCTCAATTCTGGTGGGAGCTGCTGCTGCTGGAGCCTTTGTTTCACGTGACAGGAGTGGCTGCTGAAGGCCCCCAGGTCCCTGCTTTGGGGGCTGGCTTTCTCCTTTTATTGCCTCTCCCACACGCTCCTGAGGGCCGGGCTGGAGCTTTGGAGAGCTCGGCTCCCCTGGAGTTGAAGACGTGGGGTATGAAGCAGGGGCAAAAAATTAGCACAGGCATGTCAAACAGTCATGTAATGCTGAGATACTGAGGATTTCTACTGTCAACTGAGAGGATAAAAGAAGTCCCACACCGCCCCACTGAACAGACAACTCACTGCCACAGTGGCTTTTGCCTTTAAAGAAACTCTGATCCCCATGGGAATCACAAACAGTGACAGCCACAGTGCATGGGAGATCAGATTCCTGCCTGGACCCGGCCTTGGAGGTGTCCAGGTTCACACCTGCACTCCATGAGCTGGTTCAGCTGTAGAAATTTCCAGAAGCCAAGAACATCCCCATTTTCCAATCTAACACCACCACGGGACCGTCGGTTTGCCGGTCAGTGCCCACCCCTTCCTGCCTCAAGGGCCTGAACAAAACAGGCCAGACCCTTCCCCTCCTTCCCAGGCTCCCAAAATCCCTGCAGTTCTTTCCTCCCTTCAGGAGATGTCAGGCACACACAGCACCTCTCAGAGCTCAAACCAGCCCTGCTCTGCTCTCCAGGTCATTCCTGCTGCCCATGGGCGTGGAGAAGAGCACTTCCATGTCTCCACTCTTATTTCATCAGCCAGCAGAGCAGCAAAGGACTGTGAGGAAAAACGTAGTTGCAGTGATTTTGGACTGTGCCCCCACTGAGACTCATCAGAGCTCCAGCACTGCTGCCATTATTTGGGCTGAGTGACATTTAAACCCCAAATCTGAGGTCCCAGAGACACAGATCTCTCTCTCTCTCTCTTTTTTGGGGGCTCTGTGTGTGTGTAAAAGAGGGAGTTCTGTTGTTGCTGATCTTGTGCACGACACAGACATTTACAATTTCACCCAACTGCAGAGTTAAGTCACATATTCCACTCGAGCTGGAGCTTTTCTGTTGGAAATTCATTCAGCTGAAGCAAAGATCCACTGAGCAATGGAGAATTCACCTGGACAGAGGTAAACTGCTTCAAAGTCAACCGTCCTAGCAGGAATGTGCCTGTTGCATTATGAATTTGCCCAGCTTCAAAGACTCTTTGGTCTTTTTAAGCACTGCTCAGGTAAACCAAAGAGCCCAAATCAGAGCACTGCAGTCCTGAGATCACAGCTGTGGCTCTGGTAGATTAACAAACAAAACCAAAACAAGAAAAGGTGATTTGATCTTTTATCAATGTCCTCCCCTTTTTAAGAGAATACCATGGTTTAAGTGAAACCACCACACAAAGACCCTGGAAACTGTGGTTTAAAAGAGAGCTGCAACCGGCCCCTATTGGAAGGTAATATCTGAAATATGGCATCAAGAAACACCTTTTGTAATCACAGGGATTTGAAGTGTTCAGGCAGCAGCCAGCAGGTCAACCTGGCTCATTTCTTCTGCAAAGGAACATCAAGACCACTAATGAGCAGCAGTGCAGGAATGTGGACAGGCAGTTCACGAGCTGTGCTTCCATATTCCAGGATTTTTCAGGGGTTTTGAGGCAAATCTGCAGCGCAGGGTCAATGCCAAACTGGGGATTAGAGGATGCTTCTCCACCTGAGACTCCAAAAGCATTTTAAGATGCTCCATCTGCACTGCAAATATTGTATTTTTTTAAATCCCCACATCAGGTAGGTACCAGTGAGACACCCAAGGCTCTGTGTGTCAATAATCACATTTTCCACTGAATCAAAGAGAACCATTAAAAGGAAGCAGCACATTATTACAAGCTCACTTTCAGAGATGGAACAATTTATAAAGAACCTATATAGGTTTTGTCAGAGCTCCAACTGGCTGTATGGCTCCATATCTGACAGCTCAAAGATCCCAGGACAGGATAGAAAGGTCTTAGAAAAAATCTGGTGTGAAACAGCACTAAAACCAGGGTAGAGAGAAAAGAGAACTTCACCCCCCTCTTGATAAGTCTTGATTTCTGTTTTATAGTGGCACCACTACTTTAAATACAGAAGAGCTGCCAGTCCAAAAACCACTGGCCAGGCAAGCACAGGTTCTATTTTAACTGCAGGGTGCACAGAATTGCTCATCTGTGTGCGGAGAGCAAAGACAAGCTGAATTCTGCCCTGAGCTCAGAAGGCAAAGACCTATTTACTTCTGTAAAAGACATGGATGTCTAAATGCACTAATGGAGCCATGAGGAGGAGACATTGCCCAGCTGGAGGGGTTTGTTATGTTTGCTGTGCAGAAAACTGCCTCAGAAAATGGAGTTTAACTGAGATTTTAAACAGCAAATTAGGGCTGTGGTGTGGAGGCAAGACAGCAACATCACGGGGAGTCTGAATCCCTAAGTCTGGAATTAAGCCAGCACTGGGAAACCCCATCCTGAAGCTTTCCATCAAGTCTGAACTAAGCAGAGTCAAGAGAGGCTTTCCAGGTAGCCGAGACATCCCAGATAATTCTTGGCTCATCTAAGCAGACACAATTAATGCTCTGAAAACTTGCTGCCCCTGTGTCTGACTTGGCCACTTCACATTCCCTAAGACTGGGATAAGGAAAACAAACCCTTAATGCTGAAGTCAGGGCATCAGTGAGTAGGTTTGAGACATGTTTTCCATTAGAAAGACACAGTAACCAAACAATTCACTGATCTCGTGTGTGACTTGCAGGGCCCACACTGTCTCTGTTCAGTGTGAGCAGCTCCTCCTGGTCACGGCACGTCCCAGCTCTGTCCATCAGCTTTTCCAGCCTGGAGAATGCCCTGGTTTTGCAACTGGACAAACAAGCACCATGACTTTGGTTGTCTGAGAGAGAAATTTGGTGCATGAGAAGCTGCAGTTACCTGAAATGAGTATGTTTGAACATTCCAAGCGTGGATGACCCTTCCCTGTCAGGAACAGGGAGAACTGCACAACTGCCGTGCAGTGCAAAGCATTTCATTAAAGAACAAAATTCCCAAGCCACCAGCAACCAGTTGCACATGTGGGCAGCAATAACTGGACCCAGGGACAGATGATTCACCCACCTTGAGTGTCATCTCCTGCAGCGTGGTCCTCCAGGTTGGGAGTGGCTCCTACGCCCGCCTCTTCAGCTGCTCCCAGGTCAGAGGAACAAGGGGAAAAATACGATCAAAACAAGAGTTAAGTTTAAGTGTGTGCCTGGAGAATTTATTTACCTCCCTTCTGATGCTGCCCATCAGATTGGGCATGATCTCTGCTGTATCATGAGCAGGGCAGGATCAGAAAGGAAATCACTCCACACCGATGATGGATCTGGACAGATCTGCTCAGCCTGTGCTGTACCAGACAGGAGGAGTGTTCCATCAACTCACACATCCTAGATGGCAGGTTAGTACAAGCTCTTTCAGGTAGGAAACAGGCTGTTAAGGAGCATGGAAACTTGTGGATTTATATCCCCTCTTCTACCCCCACCTACCCTTTATGTAGCCAGCAGCACTCACACAAATGTCTCTTCCCTGAGCCCACCTTCTTGGTGTCTGCCACCCACCTCACCACAATGAACCCTGCCAAGGCTGTGTGAGACCAGTAATTCCAAGCCTGATATGAATCTGACACTTCAGGAATACTGGAACATCAGAGAAGCACAGTCTTCTTCACAGTGATGATGGTTTGCCTCTCTCAGAATTTTTCCAATTTATTCCATGAGTACTTTCAAACCAGCTTAAACAATTACACCTGCATGTCACATTCTCTAGCCAAACTAGAACTTTCTCTGTTTCCCTATATTTTTTTTCCCAGGAGTTCAGGACACACTGGCTCCCTGGTACAGCCAGATCTTGCACCAGGGTCTGCACATCCTTGCAAGCAGGTGAACCACTCAGTGTCCCACTGCAGGGCTCCACCAGCAGCCTGGGGACTGGATGCGGATGGATTTCACTGCTGGGGGTGTGTTCCAGTGTTTGGCATCACCAGAAGCCCTTTTCCACCCACTACCTTTCTCAGGTCCTGCCTGATGCTTCCAGGAAAAGCCACTGGCTACGGCACAGGGGACACATCCTCATTGTTCACACACAGCCCTGCCCCTCCCCGCAGCTCCTGCCCTCTCCTACCCACACAGCACTGCTGCAGTCACTCCCTGCTCTGCCTCTGGAAGGCACCAGCCCTCCCTGGAAAACCAGGCCCAGGTGCAGTGATTCCCCACAGGCCATTCAGGCTGAATTAGCCACTTCACTTCCTCTGCATTATCCTTAAAAGCACTGCTGCAGTGGCCTGGTTTTCACCTGCCACTCCAAAGACACCCGTGAGGGCTGGGCAGAGCCAGAGTGCTCCGGGATGGCACCGAGGGCCTGCGGAGAGCGGGATGAGGGGCTGCTGGAAGAGGGGCTGGAACGACCCGGATCTGCTCAGCCTGAAGGTGGGAGGCAAAGCCACCACAGAGACACCAGACAGAAAGATTGTCAGACGCAGAGCTGCGAAGGAGAAGAGAAAGCTGCGAGTTTCCCTCAGGATGGGGAAGGCAAGAGGACAACTGTAAGCCAGGAATTATTTGGAGAAGGAAGAAGCAGCGTCAGGAGCAAAGCGTCCCTGCGAGAGGTTTCACGGTGTTATCTCACAGCACCAACCAGGCCAGCTCTCTGCTCTGTCTGCATCAAGAGGTGGAACTGCACCTTGGTCTCCCTCACCTGTGGTTCCTTCTGGGATCTCCCCGTGCTGTTCCACACCACCCTGATCCTCGTGGTCTCCTTCCTCCACTAAAGGTGCTGTGGCATCTGAAAAACAACGCAGCTTTCACACAGCTGTTGGGTGGCAAAGCCCTGGGGAGGCCAGGACATGCCTGAAGAACCCTTTTCCTCAGAAAAGCACTCGACTCCCTCCCTTCAGCCAGTGGAGCCTGTGGAGGGGGACAACCGAGCACGACACAGCAAAGCCAATATCACAGGGACACCAGGAGCTGCCCCTCTGCCACACAACGTGCCACAGCACACTCCTTATGCTTCTGAAGGCTTTGCC